AAATAGGCTTCACTTATATGAGTTCTTTTTTACTTAAACCCATGATTCTCCACTAAGGACATTTTTGCCCTGGAGGGAACATTTAGCAAGGTCTGGAGACATTTCTGGTTGTCACAACTGGGGATAGAGTTGCTACTGGCAGCTAATGGGTACAGGCTAGGGATGCTGCTAAAAATACTGCACTGCACAGGACAGTCTCCCACAACAAAGAATTATGTGGCCCAAAATGTTAATGGTGCTATTGCTGAGATACCCTGACTTAATAAACAGAAAATTCATACCAGTCTCACATATGCAATTTGTGACATTGAAGTTAGTGCTTTTCTAACTTCAGATATATAAAATTCCAGATCCAGCTAATCAATTCTTTGTTTACCAAAGTCAAGGATGCTACAAGCTACTTACTCTGAATGATTTTACATTTTGATTTTTTCGTATGGGTAGAAAAGCTAAAATTAAAATTAGAACGTAATAACAACATAACTAGTAATTCAGAAAGAGGCCCTCTAAATTATACTTAGGTTCAAATAATACCTCAAATTCTCAGTATGACTTCAGGCAAGTTACTTAACTAGCCAGTATAAGAATATTTCTGTCACAGGGATATTGTGAATGAGATAATGGGGTATAAGTAAGCATTAAATGAAGGTTTTCGTTATTCCAATTTGCTAGGCAGGCTAAATATGGCTGGAAAGTTTCAGGTTGCTCTTTACTTTTCCAGAATTTCCCTGATATCCCCCTTCCCAATTCTCTTTTGATTTCTTCTTTCTAATCTGCTGTGAACCAAGATATTAGACTTCTTCCCTACCAACCTTTTTTAGAACTGGGTCTAAGACTAGCTCTATGTGAAGTCCTGGAACGCTCCTAAGAGCAAAGTGCATGGCTTTCTGCATGTTGACTGGGTAGAGGCCTTAACTTCTAGGTTCCCAGCTATGTCCCAAATAATAGAAGTCTGTTATATATATGACCTATTATATCACAATAAAATATTGAAAAAAGTTTCCCAAGTAATTATTTTGTTCATTCTGTCCAGCAAAGTCCCTTGGAATTTAGAAATGAAAATCTAATGCACCAGAACCTAAGATCTGTCCTAAAAATACAATATCTTGGTATTTGTAAGGTATGAACCACTGAGAGCTTAGAGTGCTGATAATCAGACCTACAAATTTTAAAACCTGTCTTTCACTTGCAAATAGCATTGCTTCAATATTTGTAATACTTCTGTAAAAGAATATTATGGAATAATAGATCTTTTCACTAGTTTAAGAGTTACAATCTCGTCTATCCATCAAGATTTCTTAATCTTGTGTCCATAAACACTCTTTTCAACTTTCCACTCTATTCTATGATGGACTCCATGTGTGCCAAATTCTACATTTGTGTGTCTGTGTTTTGACACCTAAATAAAAGAATCTTTGGGTGGGGCACCTGGGTGGCTCAGTGGGTTAAGCCTCTGCCTTCGGCTGAGGTCATGATCCCAGGGTCCTGAGATGGAGCCCCGCATCGGGCTCTCTGCTCCACGGGGAGCCTGCTTCCCCCCACCCCCTCTCTCTGCCTGCCTCTCTGCCTGCTTGTGATCTCTGTCAAATAAATAAATAAAATCTTAAAAAAAAAAAAAAAGAATCTATGGGCCTATAGTGGCTATGTATCTTTCAGTGAATGGTATTTTAAAATGTGGGTCCAGTCATAGTACAAGTACCACAGGGTTATACTGTATTTTCTAGTTAGACACTGATGAAGTAAACTTTAAGTCTGAGGAAAACAAAATTTTTCAAAATGAGCAAATACTGTCATTTTATTTATTTAATTTATTTTTCTGTGACTCCACATTTATTAGGAAAAGCACTGTCATTTTAAATATAATTCTTCATTCCTTAACCTATCCCCCAAATGGCAGACACTGCTGATTTTTTCCCAATATGTTCTCCCCTTCTTCCATAATGTTTGTTTTTGTTTTTTCCCTAGACTTACTGCCACACAGCAAAATACTACTTTCCCAATTTCCCTTATATCCCTTATGGCCAAGTTCTAACCAATGAGATCTATGTAATTTCTAGCTCTTTCCTTTTTTTTTTTCTTTTTAAATAATTTATTTATTTATTTGACAGAGAGAGAACACAAGTAGGCAGACAGAGAGAGAGGGAGAAGCAGACTCCCTGCCAAGCAGGGAGTGCCTGACCCTGACGCGGGGCTCCATCCCAGGACCCTGAGATCATGACCTGAACCGAAAGCAGAAGCTTAACCCACTGAGCCACCCAGGCACCCCAATTTCCAGGGCTTTCTTTACCCTGATCTTTCTCCTCTTTCTGCTGGCTGGAACCTTATTCATGGGTTACAACTGGGCTTGCATAAGAAGAAAAATAAATTTCTATCTTATTTAAGTCACTATTATTTTGGTCTTGAATAGTAGCTGATCTAATGATCAAATACAAAAATATAATTCCAAAAAAAACACTGAACAAGTTGTCAGATATTTAAGTTCAGTGAGGATTTTAAGGCTCCTGACAGTTTGTTTTCTAGCCATTCTGCAAACTGATAGATAAATCAATACTTTAATTACGTAGTTCTCAGCAAAGATTAGATGATCAATAATGTAAAAATATAAGCTTGGGGTGCCTCAGTGGTACAGTTGGTTAAACATCCAATTCTTGGTTTGAGCTCAGGTCATGATCTCAGGGGTCGTGAATCCAGCTCTGCCTCAGGGAAGTCTGCCTAAGAATCTCTTCCTTTCCACTTACCCCACCTTTTTACCCTCCTCCCATCCACGTGCAGGGTCTCTCTTTCCAATAGATCCTTAAAAAAAAAAATAAATAAAAATATAAGCTTGATACTTCAGCAGTTTTGCTCTAATATCAGGACATTACAGCTTTATATAAAATAACAATAGAAAGAGTAATTGTGATGGATTAAGTCTAGGGTATCTGACACAGTAGCTCAAATAAATTTTACTTTTTTTTTTTTTCCCTCAGTGCTAAACTTTGCAGCATTCTGATACCGGGCCATAAGCAAATTGGGCTGCAGATAAGAGATACATCCCATAATAAAAGCTCTCAGAATAATGGGTATTTGTTGACTCTGGATGGACACTGGCTAACTCCCAAGCTTCAGAATATTTTTACACCTAGACCCTATACCCTCAACTACTGTAGAGGCATAGGACTAGATTACATGTGACATCAGGCTTTGCTATTTTTTAAAAAACTCAATAAAATCAGTTCAAAGAGGCTAAAAATTGGTAGCAATTTTCTAAAGGTATTTGGAACTCTGCCTAGGAGAGTCTTCTCACTAAATTTACAGGTGTTGATAGACAAAGGTCTTAGTGAGGCCACAAATCTGCATCCACCTCCTCAGGATAAGATATTCAGAGATTAATGTACTGACAGAATTGGTTAAAAGTCTATCTTTATATTGATACAACTGTAAAAAAAAAAAAAGATTATCTTTAAATCTTCACCTGGGAGTATTATTGTATTTCCTAAATTGTGGCCTGTGGCCAATATTTAAATCTATAATCCCACTGCAATTAGAAGAGGGAATCCTGGAATCAAATCCCAGCAATATTATTAACTCATTTATGATGCTGGGAAACTCAGTTTCCACATTGGAAAATGAGGGAAACGTTTTCTGAGGTCTGAAATTCTGATTTTAGTGCTCAGTATCTAATAGGTTCTCAAAATTTGTTGATGTGACTCTATATTGCACTCTGGACCGCAAATTTAATTAGTCAAAAGCTGAAACATTCTTCAAAAGCTTTTATTTTAGTTAAACAGCGAAAATTTCTCTAAACTATTTCTTTGTAAACATTTCAAATTTAGCTATTTAGTCAAATATTTAATCAAATATGAGTAAATTTATTTTGGTATTAACTGATCCACAAGCAGCAAGTCTACCCAACTTCTTACTTTTCTTTTTTTTTTTTTAAGATTTTATTTATTTATTTGACAGAGAGAGAGATCACAGGTAGGCAGAGAGGCAGGCAGAGGGAGAGGGAGAAGTAGGCTCCCGGCTGAGCAGAGAGTCCGATGTGGGGCTCGATCCCAGGACGCTGAGATCATGACCTGAGCCGAAGGCAGAGGCTTAATCCACTGAGTCACCCAGGCGCCCCCGGCAACTTCTTTAACAATTTGCCCGTCAGATATCTAATATTAACAGCTTTTAATAGCTCAGACTCAGAAATAAAAATAAAATACGAAACTATTGTATTTTGCATTTAATTGGAAAGCATATATATTAAGTTTTAACCATATTACATCCCCGATATTCAACTGTTTTTGGTTTTCAAAATTGGCAATATTATATGGTTCAAACTGAATATATTTAGTATTAAATACAACGCTTAAGAAAAAATATGACAACAGGAGTTCCAAATCCTCTCATTCTGCCTTTTACTAGGATCATTTCCTACCTATTAGGGGTGTGGCAGGTATTTTTCTCAAATTTCATAATGGGCCCAGTATGCTTCTGCTGCGCAACTCTGCTTCTAAAATTTCATAACATTGTGTCTCTTCTACATAGCATTTGTAGCTTGTGGTCTAAAAAATAGTATAAATTATTACTTTTTGCCAAATATTCTAAAGGGCTGGTACGAACAATTAAATGTCTTAGAGAAAGAATATACTGATAGTTGCTTAATATTCCTTGATTATTTAGCTCTGTGGTTCACAACCTTTAACGTTCCTAAGCCCTGGAGAACTTACTAAAACACAGGTTTCTGAGCCCTATAACCAGAGATTCTGATTCTGCACATTGGGGTGGGCCATGAATTTGCCTTTCTTACAAACTCTCCCGTTAGGCTTATGTTGCCGGATCTTAAGCTCATACTTCCAGAAACACTGTTGTGGAGTACTGAAGACACTTCTTTGTAACAAGGCCTCTTCTTTATTTTGGTCATTCAGTAAATAAAACTGAAGCTGATGAGGTGTGATAAATTCCCTTACGCCAGAACCCTTTCTTTGTAAAGGACTGCACTTACTTAATTGTAAGGTAATTTTGAATTGATTTGCTCTGACCCAGTCTCTACAGCCCACAGCTGCAGACAGCTAACTCCGAAGGACGCATTCACCTGTCCGGCCTTGAGAGCCTCCCAGAGCGCTGGCTTGCGGGGAGGGCAAGGGTCGCCCCAGCGCCGCTGCAACGCCAGGCTCGCTTCTTTGCAAGCTTTATCAGAGGCCGCCCGTCCAGCTAGACAAACTGTAGGAGACTCCTGATAGCGAAGCGCGTGGGCGCCAATCTAGAAGACCAAACTCGACCCACCGCGGGCGGCCCACCCAACCCCATCCGCGAGTCTTCTCTCCGCCAGCGTCCTTCTTGGAGCCCACCGAGCCTAGCAGGGGTGACAGAGAGCCCCTCGAAGGGGTGCAGCGGGCAGGTACCGACCCGCCAGAGATCACGCAGCGAGCCTGCGCCTTGAGCCGCCACCTCTGAGCAGTCGTCGGATTGCCGCTTCACCGGGAGCCACTTGGCGCTAGGACCTACCCAGAGCCTGCTCTGTCCGGATCCGAGGAGTTCCTACAGGCCCGCACAGAGGCCGGAGAACTCGCCCACTGCTCTCGGCCCACTCCCTCCTGTCCCGCTTGTGAAGATGTCCGCCAAGCCCGACGCCGGCTTCGTGAAAGAGGCTTCTCGCCAGATCCTGGCCGGTGGTTCCGCTGGTAAGGTCGCCCCGCCCCGCCGCGGGCCTGTTGCTTTTCCCTTCGCGTGTTCCGAAAACTTCACTCAGGCCAGTCTCCCTAGAGAAGTTTCTCCCCTGAATTCCGCGCTGCCACGGCAGCGCGGAGCCCGCCGTGTGCAAAAGCAAAGGAGGCCGGGAGCGGGCAGTGGACGCTGGGCCCCCCAGGTCAAGTCCCCTCCGCCCCGCGCCGCCGCTCTCCGGGGCCCCGCCTCCCGGGTGGCGAGCCGGGGAAGCGAGCGAGGTAGCCTCAAGGCCTGCAGCTTGGAGGAGGCCTTTCTGCCTGGCTGGTTACTTTACTTGAAATGATCCAGTTGCGCTCAGACTTCTTCTTGCTCTCAGTTGTAGGAGCTTTTTTGTTCTGGGTAATTCAGGTCTTACAGAACTCCTGTCTCCCTCATTCAGTACAGCCCTCAGGACTCCACAGGTCTTCTCCTTGCAGGGGTGCTTGCTGGGGGTTGGGGGGGGGTGCTCTTGGCGCCTGAAATAGGCATACTAAAATTAAATGCATATGTTAACACAGATAAACACGTTTGGTATAATGGGTTCACGTTAATTTATAGAGAGTTATGCGGTGGGGAAAAAACCTTCAGAAAACATTTGTTAGAACGAATCGTGGAAATAGTTACTAAGTGTGGCTAGAGAAAGTCACCAACCTATGAGATTATGTTGTGTGAATGTGTGTTAAAGATATTTTAAAACAAATTATGAGTTAATTGAAAATTTAATTTTTCCTAACTCTGCTTTTTATTATACATTTATAAAGTAATTACTGTAATTCACTCATCACCATAAAACATTTTTATAAATGTAGAGAGTCTGTTAATAATTTGTACTGTGGCAACTCTAGTAAATCATATTAAGAGTGACTAGATGTCCACTGTTTAACATCAACTAGTAAAATTTATTTTCAAACTTGGACTTTTTATAAAGGCCTATTATAAATTATGACTAGTTATCAGTATGTCATGGACTGCTTGCATCTCAGGAGTACCACAGGCAGCCAGATGTTTCCGTTACTGTCTGTACACTTTCCTAAAGATATTTCATTAATATGACAGTCAAGGCATTCATATCTTATATGTGATTGTGCTTTGTTTGTCCGTAATAATGACTTTAATGGCCCCACTGTCTACTTTTTTAGTTGTTTCCCCAGAGGGATGATGAATTTTCACCAATTTACTCACCATTTGGCCAATTTCACAATGTCCAAGACTCTGCCAGCTGTTCCCAACTTAGTTGATTTAGAGTCCACGACCCTGATCAAAGAAAACTTAGCTGTCCCAACAGGACAATAAGGCTAATTGGTGAACATCCTACCCTATGACTAATGATTCAGAAACATCTGTAATTGGCTTGGATGATCATACTCTATTTTGGACACAGCTGAATTCCGGGGATGAGTGTTGATCAAACTGTAATCCTGCTTACACTGTTTTGGATGATAAACATCTGGCACAAATATGTGTGATTCCATCATGTTCTTAACGGTTGTAACTAATCTGAATGAAAATTAATACATTTCTAAGAGAGTAAACATAGTATAGTTGATTTATATATTTTGTACTATGTAATTTTGATAAATGACTAATTTATACTTTCATCATAGTGTAGAAAAAGAGTCATGTTTTCTTCTATTTGGGCAATATCATTTCATAAAATTTTATATTTATTGGACTTTAATAAATGCATACTAATCATATTATATATACTAGGCCAAGGGCCAAAAAGAAATTAATATACAAGAGAGGTGGAATTTTAATAAATATAGAAAATCCATTTGAATCTCTAGGGCTGGGGTTCTGATGACTGATAATGTCATCAAACGCAACTCCTCTGTATGCATTATATGACCTTTTGAGGGTTAAGGTTAACAGTGCATTCTGGTTTTCTTAAGGGGAAAAAAAAAGCTGGGAAGGTTTATTGGAGAAGTACCATATCTCATGGAATTCAAGGTCTTGATGCATTCCTGGAAGAGACTGCCATCAGGAGCTAGAGCACTGAGGGGAACTCAGGAAGTCAACTCTTGCCATCTCTTACCCTTCCTCACTTTGTCAAGGGGTTAAGCATTTCCAAGGCAGCAGAGTGGTGGTTAATAATAGGGTCACAGGTGGGGTGCCTGGGTGGCTCAGTTGGTTAAACGACTGCCCTCAGCTCAGGTCATGATCCTGGAGTCCCTGGATCGAATCCCACATCAGGCTCCCACCTCCACGGGGAGTCTGCTTCTCCCTCTGACCTTCTCCTCGCTCATGCTCTCTCTCACTGTCTCTCTCTCTCTCAAATAAATAAATAAAATATTAAAAAAAAAATAATAGGGTCACAGGTAATACTAATACAGTTGTTGGGACGGCTTGCCATACTTCCATAAATTTGCCTATTAAGGAGTAAATATGCCCAAATGGATTCAGACAGTTAATTACTTATAAAGATGGGAAAAGCAAGTCATTATGGTGTCAGTTCCCTGGGTCCCATTTTCCACGGATGACACCAAACTGAAGGGGCCTGATGATACACAGTATGAGTGATAGGTCACTCTGGTGTTGGGAAAGCGCGTCAACCATAGCCAGACAGTCTTACCCACTTACACTGAAGGCTGCAACTTTCCCTAAGTGCAAGTGTGGTGGCAAGCTTTGTATTCAACTGACACTAGGGAGATAGACGAGAAATGGCCTTCTGACAGTCTTCCATGAGATAACGGGAGAAACTGCTTCTCAGCTCTTCCCCACCCGTCTGCTTATCTTCCCTTAGGGCAGAGGAAATCACAGGGCATTCTGCCAAGAATCAGGTTAGACTGTGGCCTACCCTTCCTGTAGGGTTATTTGGAGATGTGCAAGGTTGTCAGCATGCCAGGCTGTGGAACTCTTTCCCTGTGCTCTTCTGGTGCCTTCGTTAGTCTTTTTTTCTTACAATTGACTGCTCTTTCCCACTCTCCCATCTACAGGACAGAGTGTGGTTCCTAACAGCTCTTGAATTTACATGCTCTTGACTTCCGTTCTGTAGAGACAGTGAGGGACTGACTTGCTTTTTTTTTTTTCAGTGTTTGAGTAAAAGCATGGGAAAGACTAAAGATAACCCAATTTTGGACATGGACCCACCTTTGCCACCAATCAGTTGTGCTGCCCATGTGGATGAGTGGGGCAGCAGTGGGCATGGAGACTTCAGGGGAGATTTATCTTACAGAGAAGCCAGACACATCATGAGATGGATAATAGATGTCTTTCATCACGATATACGTCTTTCATTATAAGATGGTTGGTGATATTTGTATTTAAAAGACCAAAGAGATCAATGCACTGACAGTTGCTCGGACAGTATATATCTAAAGACTGGCCTTGAACTTGTAGCTATAAGTAATATATAAAGTTATTTTTAACCAATGGTAATTTTGTTTTATAGTTTTATACGATACGAGCTATGCTCAAGACAAGTCAATATGAATTGAAGTTTTACAGAGCAGGCTTCCAGTCTGTATTTTCAGCTTCAGGTAATCACTTAAGATTCACATGAAAGAATAGAACCCAATGATGAGAGCTTCAGGAAGATCAGCAAGGCCAAACACTGCAGAAGGGGTAAGGATGTGAGTGAGAAGAGGCCATTATATTACACCCTAGGTCTGTGGATGAGCAGCAGCAGGCACATGGTAGCACTGGAAGCTTGCCTAAAAAGTAAGATCTCAGGCTCACTCCAGACCTGCCATATCAGAATCTGCATTATAGGAAGGACTCCAAGTCACTGGTCTGCTCTTTCCAGTTTTAGAAGCACTACATTAGAAGACCTTTGAGGAAAAGAGATTTTATAGAAGGGAACCAGATTGGCAGAGGATTACAAGTTAAAGCATTCTTGGTTTTCATTGCTGACCAGAGAGAGAAGACTGAATTCTGTACACCTTATTATATGCTCCCAATTTAGCTGTCAGTCTTATTTTCCTCCTCTCCTACACATGCTATTCAGTTTCTGCTAAATAGATCTGTTCACCATACTTGAATATTACCTGTACCTTTGCACTTTAAATCACAATGCCTGGAATGTCTTCCTCTTATTTTCTCTACCTATTGAAATCCTATCTATTTTCCAAGGCCTAACTTGAATATGATTTTCTGCATGAATGTTTCCCAGATGTCCTCTACAGCCTCATCCAGCTTAACATTCTCATTAACATGTGAATGGCACAAGTAATCAAAATAACTAACATTTATTGAGTAAATACTAACTGGTAGACTCAGTTCTAAACTTTACATGTATCAGCATGTTTAATCCTCATCACAACTCCAGGATGAAGAAACTGATGCACAGAGGGCCTAATTAATTCGCCATTGGTTGCATAAGCATGCAACCATTTCTGTTGGAAATCAGGATAGGAGAGGGATGAGAAAGATATTTTTTCCATCGTCAGACGTTTTTAGAATTTGGAGAGATCAAATCAAGTCTATCCCTTACTATTTCTATATTTCTTAATAGTTTACATCCCTTAAAAGAGCTATTTTATCTACAAATACAATTCTTAAGACTTTCTGCTAAATAGTATATTTCTCTTTCTAAATAAATTCGGGTGTATAGGTGCAAAATTAGTTTTTAGCCAAGAGAAAGTTCTCAATCCATCTAGGGCCTAAATGTGCAGTTGGGCATGTTACATACTGAAAAAGGGCTCTGGCCACTGGAGCAAGTGGGAGCTGAAATCTGATTCATAATCCATGTATCTTAGAGTTATAGATGAATCCATCTGGGGGAGTAGGGACGTCTTTTTCTTTTTAAAAAAATTTACTTATTTTTAAATTTAAATTCGATTAATATATAATATACTAGTTTCAGAGGTAGAGTTCAGTGATTCATCAGTCTTATATAATACCCAGTGCTCATTAAGTCACATGCCCTCCTTAATGTCCATCACCCAGTGACCCCAACCCGCAACCCCTCACCTCCAGGAACCCTCAGTTTGTTTCCCAAGATTAAGAGTCTCTTATGGTTTGTCTCCCTCTCTGATTT